AAAGCCTACATCACTAACATAAAGTCTTAAGGGATCCACAGACACAAATACAGAACATCATTTTACCAATTTATAAGCTTAAATAGGGTTCAAAATGCCGTGGTTCAACTTTAGGCAGTTGCGCAGGTTAATATTTCAGCCCTGCAAAAGAGCAAGGCAGGGTAAATTAATCAACCTGGCCATAAAAAAAAGGGGGTTTCTGGGATTCTGGCCGAGCATGGGTCAGGTCTGCACAAAGCAAATTCGCCTTCGGGGAGCGGCGTTCCACCTCGCTTGGGGCAACGCGTCCTTTCGAAGGACGGTAAGCTCGTCAAGCACTGTTATCTATCCCCAATCATTGCAAAATTAATAAATGAGGTGTGGAAATGGTAACTTGAGGGAGTTCTACGGAGGACAGCGGTGCGCTGTGATGCTTGGAACTGTTTTCAGACGCTCTCCGCGCCAGGATTCCCCCGTCGGTCTGTAGCCGTCACGCTGCGATCGGTTCCTCCGGCGTCACCGACGCTTTTCTAACACACCGCAGCTTTTTTACGGTGCTGAGTCCATCCGGGAGGACGTGAAAAGCGGCTGTGAAACTCAGAGAGGTCTGATACAACAGAGTTCGTGCTGCTTTTAACAGCTGTACTTCATCCTTGAGGTACTGCGAGGGATATTTCATCACCTCAGCTCCCCGACAGCAGAAATTAAACACTTTTACTGTCGCTCTCAGCTTTTTACATTCGCGGAAAAGGAGGGAACGACGACGTTTTCACCGGCGCTATAAATACACGCGCCTCAGCGGTGCCGTATTTACTGCAAAGTCTGGCCCCGACACTCCTCCTCCCCCAAAAACGATGCCCAGAAGCCACGGACGAGGGGCTTTTAAGACCTCACCTAGCCCTGCCTTTCGCCGGAGTCTCATGCAGAGAGGCGAGAGCACGAGGCAGCCGCCCTCCTTCCCACCCAGTTTTAGACGCTCTACCCGATAAAGCGAGGCACTGAGAACACCGACGACCACGGCAATCCCATGGAACGACTGGCTTAATTGGTTTAATTAACACCCCAGTTAAACGCCCCAATTTACGTAGGGTGAAACCAGGTCCAGAGCTCGCGGTCAAGATGCCGCGTGAAGCTGAGCGTGGCTTAACCGCGAACGCCGTACGGGTAAGCACCGTACCTGCTTCCTTCCTCGCGCGTCCTCTTCCTTTCGTCTGGGCTATCACGATTTCCGTTTCCTCCTGGGTCATCTCGGAGATTTTCTGCAGGAAAAGCTTTTCTAGAGCTTCTGCCATTAAGACTATGTCATCCCCTGGCTGGAGGAAAAACAGATACGATAAATTAGGCAAAGCATATATGGAAATATATGCCTTTATATATTATATATATAAAATTTCTCTTTCCAGAGAGATGACTTAGCATTTTCACCCTCCTTAGCGCTGCTATTTCCATTACGGTACAGTGGAAAGGCATACGGGATGCTGTCCCAAGCGTCAAATGCACGGACAAATCCTCACCCTAAAGCCCTTAGATTTTATAGGAAAAACCAGATGACGGGCAGGGATGTCCCCAAAGAGATGCACTGGAGAATAAACCGACACAAATCGTTACCTGCATGTGGCAAGGGCTATTTTCTGAATGAAGGGAGGAGGGAAAAGAGGGGAAAAAGTGGAAAAAAGAGCCGGATTAATGCCAGCCGGTCATTTCCACCACCTAAGATCCCCCTGACTTGGTGGGTCTCATGGAAGAGGTCTCTCCGTACAGCGTCGGGGTAGGGGATAAAAAGAGCTTGGTAACGGCCTGCGAGAAAATTTCCTCCCCGAAAAAGGAGGTTTTTAAGGAAGAAGTTGACCATTCTGCGCCTGTAGCCGCTGCTGAATCGGCGTGGAAGGAGAGGACAGCACTAACTGGTCCTTACAGATCTGGAGAAGCCTGTACTTGCGAAGGTCAAGGAAGACAGGAAGGAGGACACCTAAAGAGGGTGAGAGCTTCTGCCCAGGGCACCCTGCAGCGCTGCAGGTGAGAAGAGACAAGAGATAGGAAGGTTTGAAATTGTTTTGTGGATAGCAATAAAATTTGGCCGAGAGGGAAGGGCGGGCAGGAACAGAACAAGAGCCCAGCCTGATGTCTGGGCTGACGTGAAGACCATAAAGCAACGGCCATCACCGTCAGGACACGGCGCCACTGCGAGAAGGCAGCTCCCGCTCTGCCACTGGCACAAGGACGGTTAAAAACCACGCCTGCCCATCGGATGGCGTGCACAGACCTGCCCGGCTGACGGCCCGCAGGCTCCGTGTGCTTCACAGAGATGTTCCTTTAGCTTAGATGATTTGCTGCCTTCCAGCCCAGAGGAGACTGGTGAAGATCAGGGAGAACAGGGGAGAAAGCTGGGCAGGGGCAAGACGCCGTGGTGGGAGAATGCGGCAGAAGACTTTAAAGCGCGTACGAGTAGTCTGAAGCCTTCGGGAGCCTACCCTCATTCCAGTTGCATCATGCTGGCTCAAACCAGAAAGGGCAATGGCCAAGGAGATGGTTTTGAAGAACCGAAAACTGCTAATGACTATTTATTTGGAACAAACTAGAAAGGTCTTGTGCAATACTTCTGAGAGGAGGAGGAGGGGAAAAAAAGGTCAAAGCACAGGAGGGTGAAGCAACGGGGACGGAGAGAGAAGACGCGTGAGAAGCGAAGAGCAGAGACCGAACGGGAACCGAAACACTCGGGCAAGCGGTGGGAAGGGTGGAGGTGGTTGGGGAAGGAGAAGGCCAGAGGGAAGGATGAGGCTCTGACCACGTCTTGCTGCCTTCAAGGACGGCTGTAAACCCTTCGTTTGTGTTTGTGGTCCTTCCGCCAGTTAAGCAGGTAACGAGCGAGCGTCTTGTGCTCAGCCTGGTACCACCTCTGAGAACCTTCTCCAACTCTCCAAGCTCCACCCTCACCCCCAGGTCTTGGCCGACACAGGCCACTGTCCCACCACCACCATTTGGGGAAATGCCCTGGGATGCTCCTCATCCCTCCGGATATTCTTTCCCGCACCCCAGGCAGTTGCACAACTGTTTATAAAATGATTTGCAGGCTGTTTTTCAAACCAGCCTTAAGTCAGCTTCTTAACAAAGCTAGAGAAAACACGAAGCACAGCCCGACTTCTCAAGTATTTGTTCGGTAACGTTCGTGGCTCTGCTCAAGTCAGACCCGAAGAAAATCTTAAAAATTTCCTTTGAAGAAAAAAAAAAAAAACAAACAAAAAACGATGTCTAGACTGAAGATATCTGCTAGTAATTCTTCCGGGAGGGAAGGCTGCTAAGCCAGCCCTGTCTGCCTCTTGCTTCTCGGCAGAAGACAGACGTGCCTGAGCTCCCATCGGTTTAATCACGTTTGTTTTCCTAAAGCTGATCTCGGCGATGGTTCCTTATAAGGACTGCTCGAACAAGCAATGCCTGCATTTCCATGGCTGTCCAATGAGGACGTGGAAGATTTCCCTTGGAAAAAACGCAGATTCGGGAACGTTTCGTACCTTATTGTAGATGTAGCAGTTTGTAAACATCGTGTTAAAATCCTGGATACATTCTTGAGCGTTCCAGTAGTAGTTATTCTCCAAGCGTTTCTTTATTGTTCCCATATCCATCGGAGTTTTAATTATCTTATAATAATCCTGCAAAGGGCAAAGAGGGAGACGTCAGTGTGGGAACTAAAGCGTCAGCCAAGCACGGGTTTGCACGGAGTTTCAGGACCGGGATTCCTCCACCTCATTCCTGGACCCACCCGGGTGAGATCCTCCAAGCCCAGCAGACACTTAGCCGCCAGACTTAGTCCCCATCAGCCTCTCAGCTACTTTTAATTAAATAGAAGGACAAACCTTTGGTAGAGGAGTAATTTACCCCCCGAGGCACCAAAATTTCTCAATTCTGGGTTTTTGGTTGGTAATGGTGCAGGGTTAATTCTTAACAATCTTACGGGAAACGAATGACCCTTCACAGGAGGTCACCCGTTGAATGGAGCGACAAGAGAAGTGAAATCAGATTTACTGCAGCCCCTTAAATGCATCTGGATTCACACAAAAGAAGGTGTTTCTATTTTTAAGGTATAATGTTTAGAAGACAAAAAAAAAAAAGCTGGAAACGCCGTTGCTATAGAACCGACGCTCTCCACATGCAACAGGGAGCTTGTGCCTACCACGAAAAATGAAATAGCCTAATGCCCGGGTAAAAGGTTATCTACTTACAGCTATTATATCTTAAAAGTAAAAGAGACAAGGAAAGTGGGTGTTACGCAGGAACGTCTCTCTCAATGGAGGAATGGAAGGAGGGAACCAACCTCTTCTGGTGGGATCTGGAAGGGTCCAAACCAGGCGTGCAGCAGAGATGCTGCTGTGATTTACTATAATAAATGATCTCTATAATAAATGATCTCTAAGTTACGCTTCGATTCTTGCTAGCCCTCAGGTTTTATTCTGACTCCTCCTGTGGATGCTTCCCCGGGTCGAGGCAGGGAGCAGGCAGCGGGAAGGGCTGCACCGTTCCCTTTCCCGTCTGTGATGTGCCAGGCAGGACAGCGGTGAGCAGCGATGCAACCCTGGTGTGGCAGAGGAAGGCTTCCATGCCAATTCACAATCATGGAATCGTTTAGGTTGGAAAAGACATTTAAGATCATCCAAGTCCAACCGTTAACCTAACGCTGCCAAATCCACCACTAAACCATGCACCTAAGCACCGCGTCTACACGTCTTCATACCTCCAGCGACGGTGACTCCACCACTTCCCTGGGCAGCCTCTTCCCATGCTTGACAACCCTTTTGGTGAAGAAATTTTTCCTAATATCCAATCTAAACCTCCCCTGACACAGCTTAGGGCCACTTCCTCTCGTCCTATCACTTGGGAGAAGAGCCCACCCCCCTCCCTGCCCCCTCCTGTCAGGCAGCTGTAGAGAGCGATGAGGTCTCCCCTCAGCCTCCTCTTCTCCAGGCTGAACACCCCCAGCTCCCTCAGCCGCTCCCCACCAGCCCTGTGCTCCAGACCCTTCCCCAGCTCCGCTGCCCTTCTCTGGACACGCTCCAGCACCCCAATGTCCTTGTGCTGAGGGGCCCAAAACTGGACACAGCATTCCAGGTGTGGCCTCACCAGCGCCGAGCACAGGGGGACGATCCCTGCCCTGCTCCTGCTGGCCACACCATTCCTGACACAACCCAGGATGCTGTTGGCCTTCTTGGCCACCTGGGCACACTGCTGGCTCATGTTCAGCCACCTGTCAACCAGCACCCCCAGGTCCTTTTTGGCCAGGCAGCTTTCCAGCCACTCTTCCCCAAGCCTGGGTTGTTGTGACCCAAGTGCAGGACCCGGCACTTGCCCTTGTTGACCCTCATCCAGTTGGCCTCGGCCCATGGGTCCAGCCTGGCCAGGTCCCTCTGCAGGGCCATCCCACCCTCCAGTAGACTGACACTCCCACCCGACTTGGGTGTCATCTACAAACTTGCTGCAGGTCCACTCGACCCCCTCGACTTACTGCAATTTAACTTAAAATTGGCATCCCTTACAAAATGACTCGTGTGTTGCCAACGGCGCTGCAAAGCATGAGAAGCGCAGCGGTTGTTTGAGTACTCGGATATTCCGTGAAAGGCTCCGAGTGTTTTAATTTGAAAAAAAAACCCAGACTCTGCTGATAAAACAGTGGAGATCAAGCGAGGCACAGAAAAATGTGCTGGGTTTTGGGGAGCAGTAAGGCAGAGCCCAAGTCAAGAGATGGTTTGCTTAATAATCTTTGATGCTTAGTAAGTTTTAGTGCGTAATAATTTCTGGTGCTTAATATTTTTCAGTGCTTAATAATTTTTGGTGCTTGGCTGGGGGACAGAGGACTGCAGACTCACCCTCCCTGACTCCTGAAATATTATTCCTACTTCCTTCTCCGCATCCCATCGGAAAAAGGAGGGTGGTAAAGGGCAAAGCAGTAGCTGAGCCAGTTGAGATTCCTCCTCGTGTGTGTATTTGCTAAAAGATCACAGGATCATGCAACCATTTAGGTTGGAAAAGACCCTTAAGGTCATCAAGTTCAACCGTTAGATCATCGAGTTCAACCGTTAGATCATCAACTGTTAGAATTAGATCATTGAATTCAACTGTTAGATCATCGCGTTCAACTGTTAGATCATTGAATTCAACCATTAGAGAGTTCAACCGTTAGATCATCGCATTAAACCATTAGATCATTGAATTCAACTGTTAGATCATCGCGTTCAACTGTTAGATCATTGAATTCAACCATTAGATCATCGCATTCAACTGTTAGAAAACTGAATTCAACTTAGATCATCGCGTTCAACCGTCAGATTGTTGAATTCAACTGTTAGATCATCGCGTTCAACCGTCAGATCGAGTCCAACCGCTAGACACGGATTCTATGATTTCTGGAGAAGGGCGGACGCAGGCGCCAGACCTGAACAGTCTCGCTGCTTCCATCGAGAACCATTGTCTGGTCTCTTGACCTCTACTTACAGGGAGGTTCAGCTTGACGGCATCCACGGGCTGCTGGAAAGGCCACGCAAACTGGTGCTTCCATAGCGTCTTCAGCACCACCTTGAGCAGATACTGCAGCTGGTTGGTCTGTCGCTTGGGTTTGTTGGGGTTGGAAGTCTCTGGCGGAGGGGGATTAACGCCTACAGCACTGCCTTGTTGGGGTTGAGCCTGTGACTGCGTCGTAGACATTTGGGTGGTTTCTAGTCCATCCCCCATTACCGGCAAATTTCTCAGTCTCGTTCCAGGGCCGCTCTCCGCCGACATGCTATTGATCCCATTGCATTCCTCACCGGACACCCTGCAAAACAAGGAGAAGGAAGATGAAGTCACTTCAACCCCAGGCTTTTGGTACAAGGCTCTGCTTAAAAATAAACCGGCGGACCTCTGCCAGACTAGCTCGGGCAACTAGACCTTGCGCCGCCCCGCTTGCTTAGCGACAGAATTGTGTCGTCCCAACAAATTATGTCAGCATTCTGCATACTGGGGTAAGAAAGGATATTCCGAGGCAATTTGCTGTCTCTTCCATGCCAGGCATAGGCGTTGCCTCTCCGCTCCTTACCAAGCGTGAGTTTTATCCCTGTTCTTGCCTAATCTGGTCAACGAGGACTCCAACGGTCTCCATAAAGAGTCTTCGTTGCCTCGCAAACAAGGCTCTAACGAGCAAAACACTGCTCGTTCTCGGCAGGTACCAGCTTCAGCTCCAGGGTTGGATTCGCCAACACCGGGAAGAGAAGTTAAGGTGGTGTTGGCCAACTTTTAGCTCCAGCTAAAGGAGCGCAGGGTGGCAGATTTATCTCCTTTCCGCTTCTCGGTAGCTCCCACCCCACCACCAAGGGTCAGCTCACCCCAATTTAATGCCAAAGTCTGTCTTTTAGGTGAACGTTGAGCTTCTGCGGGATGCTTCAGCTGAACCATGCAGTGGACAGACCCACATTTAATTCACGCTATCTGCTTTCGGTAGATAATTGAGGTAGATAATAACTTCAGGTAGTTAATTTAAGTAGATAATCTTTAGGTAGTTAATTTAGGTAGATAGCTTCACGTAGTTAATCTAGGTAGATAGCAACTTTAGGTAGTTAATTTAAGTAGATAATTTAGGTAGGTAATCTTTAGGTAGATAGGTACATAATTTAGGTAGACAATCTAGGTAGAACATCTTTAGGTAGATCATCTTTAGGTAGGTCATCTTTAGGCAGATCATCTTAAGGCAGATCATCTTAAAGTAGATAACCTAGGTAGATAATCTTAAGGTAGATAACTTAGGTAGATAATTTAGATAGATCATCTTTCGGTAGGTAATTTAAATAGCACTCTGAAGACCAGAAACTCAGGGAAAAAGGCATTTCTGCTGAGCCTATGGACTTCTCCCAGGGCGTATTTCAGAGCTCTCCAAAGACCACACGCAGCCCGTCCGTCGTCTTAAGCTACAGCTGCGCAAAGGGGTCACCACTGAGCCAGGACCGTCCGCCGTGAACCGGCAGCTTCACCCCCACCACGTGGTGAATGCCCACCCTCGCTGGGCGCGGGGGACCTTCCTCGTGTAAAGACACCCTCCGTGACGTGCGTCCTTTGTCTAATGTAACGCTGAGCACGTGGAGCACGCGTTAAGCTTAAGACACGCAGGTATTAATTAGAGAAGACCACCATATATTGTGCGAGATGAATTAAGAGCCTCGTTATTCACCAGTTTCGAGTGACACCTGGGGGGGAAGTGAGGAAGAAAACGTTTCCCATCTCTCCACTCGTGGGGTTATCGAGTGCTTTCTCAGCTGGGGCAGAACTGATTTGGTTTAGGACTGCCAGCCCTGCGTGATCTGGAGAAAACCCCACTCGGCGCTGAGGCATTAACCTCGGCGGAGCAAACGTCTGCACGTATACTTGGCCTTGAGTCAGTCTGTAAGTGTATATAGGTATGTATATGTTCACGACAAAGCATCTGGCCACGGGTTTGGGTTTTTATTCTGCTGCTGTAGAGCAGCCCCGTGCCTCTGGTCGTGGTCTGCACGCGCAGATGTGGTCTCCACACGTAGCACAGCAAGGGACGAAGAGCCAGAGAGATGAAGCGTCTGTGCGATTTTACCTGCCATGTCCCTCAACTGCTTCCCAGTCCCCGTAAAACCTCAGCCAGCCTTAAACTCCTGCTTAAAAGTCTGCGGTCCGTTGCTTTTACTGGCCTAAAACCAACACCGACCCACTAACGCACCAGGGCAACATCAGATTTTTGGTCATTAGATGATGGGGTTTAACTTTTCAGGGCTCCGAGCGAGTCGAAGCATCGCTCGAGCGGCAAGATCACTTGCAGCAGACCCCCTTCGTTCACCCGGGATATTTTACAGGAGATTTTATGGCTGTGGAGACAGGAGTCCCGCATCCAGAGAGCTCTTAGCTCAGCTGTCCTGTGAAACATCTCCACCCCCAGCTTTCATTTTGCTCCTTGATTTTCTTCCCCATTAGCAGGGTAGCCCGCCCGCTCTCCACAGGGGAGGTTTAACTCAAACGTGACACAATTTGGACGCAATTTGGATTTCCCTCTCTTGCAAAATTCCTTGAATTTTGCTTCGGGGTGGTGCTGATTCCTCTAGGTCGCGTATTAAAGGGAAGCTCTCGAGCGATAAACTGTTCTTATCAAGCGGTGGCCAAGCAAAAGGAATCCTCTTTACTCACTGCAAGGGGCTACATTACCTTGTAGGATACATTGCCATATAATTTTGCCCCAGAAAATGATGCAGAGTCAGAAGTTGCTTGGCTTGTCCATCTATCTTCCGTGGCTTCAGGCACAAATGCCTTTAGATACTGTATCTGATGAAACAAACAAAGCAATTAATCTGAGGCATCAACCCAAGGCATCAGAAATGAAGGCTACCTCCAGAGAATTATATATTTTTTTTTAACGTACATCAATAGTCCAGCGAAGCAAAGGAGTCTACGGACACCTGCAAACACGACACCTACGGAAAAACGAGGAACTGGCGCCAGTATTTCAGTTTTTCCCAGGCATTTTTCCACCTTTAGGGCAAGCTCTTTCCTGAAATTCATCATTTCAAGCACTGCGACCAACTGATTTCCTTCTGCTCCCTCTTAACACAATAGCTCTCCCAGAGCCAGCCGTAAGAGGAAGCCAAGGAGTTGTTATTTTTTTTTAAAGAGAAGGGAAAATACTTCGTCATCCATTAAATTTCTTCCCCTTCCACTTAAAAGCAAAGGCTCTGACCACTCGTCCGGGCGGTTAAGTGTGATATCAGATTTACCCTTTTATTTTCACTTATTTAATTTATCCCTTATCTTTTTCTCTGTCTTCTTGCTCCTTTGGAGGGATCCTATCAGTCTCCTCTTGGGTTTTCAAACTCTAGTGACTTCTTTTTTTTAATGGATTAGCCGGAAATACACCGATTTACACCACTCTTCTCCTCTCTCCCCCAATGAAAGGATGCTCCGACTGTCTCCCCTGTCCTGGCGGTTACGTTACGGCTCCTCTCTTACATTATCGCCCCACCTGTGTGCCTAAATATCAGAAAAAAAATCAGAAAAATTTCCATTTTTAACAGAAAAGTATCCATTTTTTGCTCGGCCCGTCTCGACGGGTGGAGGGTTCGCAGCCCAACCTGACCTAAAGGCGAGCGCGGTCTCGCCCCCGGCAGCATTGCCCCAACTCGTCCCCAGCCTCAGCTCTCGCCAGAAATATGGATATCGCCGCTGGGTGACATTCCCAGGAAAAAAACCACAATTATCAGCACGGGGAACCTTCTCTGACACAGAAGACAAACGTCGGGGAGTTCAAAGAAATGGGGTTTGACAGACCTGTGCCTCCTCTGCCGTTCAAAACTGGGAAAAAAATCAGAAAGAGCTGCAGGATGGAGAATGTAAACGCAGATTTTCCTGTCCAGTGAGGTACAATCTATACATCTGATCCACGTTATAGACTGCGCTGCAGGTGCTGTGTTAGGGCTTTCTTAAGCACAGAAATCACTTGTTCTTAAACACAGAAAGTGCTGCGTTTGGGGTTTCTTAATCTGATCTAGATTATAAATTAGAACTCAAATCTGGATTAGATTAGAAGTGTAATCTGTCTTATAGATCGTGCTATAGATGTCCTACGTTCGGGTTTTCTTGATCTACAGATTAAGATGGTGTTAAATTCGGGTTTTCTTAATCTAACCTGTATTACAGATTCGAAATCTAATCTCTATTAGATCAGTTCAGAAATCTAATCTGATTATAGATTGCACTATAGATGGTGCTACATTCAGGTTTTCTTACTCTATAGATTAAGGCAAGCGTTACGTTCGGGTTTTCTTAATCTAAACTGTATTATAGATTAGAAATCTACATTACAGATTCGAAATCTAATCTCCATTCGATTAGAAACCTAATTTGCATTCCAGATTGTGCCATAGATAGTACCACAATCACGTTTTCTTAATTTCTCAGGACTAGGAAAACCCGACCGTAGCACCCCCCGAAACTACAGGTTAAGAAAATAATTAATTAAGAAGAAAATAATTAACCCGTAGATTAAGAAAACCCGCATGCAGCACCATCTCAAGATGCGGCGACCAGGAAGCCTTCGTTAACCGTACCATAAGACCAACGTGCCCCATGCTGTTACCTTCTCATTCAGCCAAAGCCAACACGTTTATTCACGGCAAAGTAGGAAGATCAGGAAAAACTGCTGAGTTGATTACCGCGATTACCGTTTACACGCTTCGTTAGTAAGGGTGTAAGTGGGATGCCGGGGGGACGGACCTCATTGGGACGGTATCTGGCGTAGGGAGGCTCGAGTTCACCAGGACTGCGCTCCCTGCACTTGGCTGGATCCACGTGATTTTAATGCTGCCTGCCAAAAAAATATTCTGGTTTTTTTTTTTTTTCCCCCTCCCTCCCGGGGAAGAGGCGGGAAGGGCAAGGGCTGTAATGCGGAGCGGGAGCCGGCAGAGGGAACTGCCAGGCCAGGAGGAGCCCAAGATGCAGAAGGACCTCTCCTACCCTAAAGCTGAGCTGGGGAGATGGAGATGGAGGGGAGCAGAGACGATATTGCGGGGAAAAAAATGGAGAAATGCGTCTGAAAAATTCACCGTATTGATGGGATAACAGGGAACACGGCCGTGGGCCCGGAGGAGGAGGAGGAGGAGGAGGAGGTCAGCTCTAGAGGACACCAGAGATGGGGAGCGGCCATGGCAGGCAGAATCACAAGAAAATAAATTCGAGGGCTTTGCCGGGCGCGAGGCAGCGGTTGGGACACAGAAAGCAGAGAAACCCCTCGCTCTGCGGAGGGAAAACGAAGCGTCGCCGCAAACCCAGCCTGCCCGAGCAGCAACGTGGGCCAAGCCTGGAGACGGGGGTCCGGAGGATGGAGGAAGGTGATGTGTGCGAGAGCGAGAGGACAGCGAAGGAGGGATGGCGGGCACGTTCCATTTGGGAATATTTTCCAGTTGAAAAGCAGGAGAAATGAATAACTGGGAACACAGGGCGGGCTGTCAGAGCACCAGCTTCCAAAAAAACATCCTAAAGGGGAAAAAAAAGTCTCCAAACGACTAGCAGAGGGTGGCGTAAGCAAGAAAATGCTGCCCTTTATTTGGGCGGACGGATTATTAAGGGGGCTCGAACAGACAGACGTTTTGAGACCGAAGTAAGAGGCAGATCCTCAGCTGCGTGAGCAGAGCTGATGGAAAAGAAACTGCGTCGAGGATTCGCTTGATCGGGGACGTATCCGACTGACGGGGGGAGACCCGAAGACGACTCAACCACCCACCTTAGAGGAGCGACCGACGAAGATGCTCCGAGAGCGGAACACGAGAGCGGCTGCATTCGCAAGAAGCCACCCTAAGCGTTCCTCCTCTCTCGCCTCACCCTAATTAACAAGATTAAGAACTGAATCTTGAAAAAACAAACCCGAGAAACGAGCGTTATCAAGTAATACAGTGATTTTGTAGGGGTTTTTTTTCAGTAAGTTACTTTGAGGTTATCTGCCCGTCCTGGACAGTGCCTGGAAGGCGACCTGCCGGAGCAAAAAATGGATTTTAACCTATTTTGAGTTGGTGACGTTTAACTAAGGCTGTTAAACCCAACTATTTCTACCGTGTAGACAGCCGGACGCAAGTTTGCAGCGCTGGATCCATCCACAGCGACTTCACTCTAATATCAAGAAAACAGAAATACTTAAATCCCACTTTTAGAAGAGACACGAGGTTTACGATGCCCAAGCAGCAAAACGAAGCCCGTACGGTCTCGTCGGACCGCAGCAAGCGCAAGGAGAAGCTGGGACAGCTGTGAGCGTGGGTTATCGGTGGAATTTAATCCTAAACCCTGTTTCTGCTCTGATAACCGGACCGTATCGCTGCTGCTCCACTCTCCGCGCTAACTAGGTGTGCACGCGTACTCCAAAACCAATGCGATTCGGTGGGTAAGAAGCAAAATTAGCTTAGGAAAATTTAGCAGAAAAAGCCTCACGCCCGAGAAAGTATTAAAAAGGAAGCCACCTGCATTTATTCGTGCTCTGGAGCGAGATGATCCGCTCCCCGGGGAAGCGATCAGTAAGTACGGACCAAAGAGGATCTACGCTGCCCGCCGGTTTCGGGCTGAACGTCTCCCTCCCGTGAGTCTCTTGTTCTGCGCGGCCGTCCCCTGCGGTACTCACTCTGCGCAGCCTGAAGCCAACTTTGCAACCCTTCGCAGCGCGCAAAAGCTGCGTTTTAAAGCAGAAATAAAGCCGTGGGTCTCTTTCGCAGGCGTGCGGGAGGAGGGAAGGGCTGGAATTCAGTTTGCAAAGGCAAACCCAAGCCCCAAAATCCATGACAGGGGTGGTATTGCAGGAAAAGCACAGAGCTGTGAAGCATAAAACTTCAATTCATGGTTAAATTGCATCATTACGGATCCCACCCCAGGATACGTTATCTAGAAATAGCCTGGAAAAGGCAGCTAGGCTGGAAAATCCAGCAGCTGAAGAGAGTAACTCGCACGTTTGCGGTGGCCAGCACTCCCTTTAATTCTGACCCTGCTGCGCCAGGAGACGGGGACCAACACGTGCAGCCAGCACCCCAGGCCTTAAACAGACAAAAGGGAAGGCAAAAACGCGGCACTAACAGCTAACGGCGTATCGCACGCTTCCTAACCTCCAAATTCTTAGTTTAAGACTTAATTAACGATGGCTTAGCTCGTTTTAGTTGATGCCTCTGGTGAATGCTGCCGGGAAAACGCAGCGGCTTCCTCCTAACCCGAGATGCCGACGTTCAGCTGATGTTGTTAAAATTACACCCGGAGCCTTCCCGGCATCCAGCCCAGCACGCGCCGCTCTCTGCAGGCGTCATTTTCCACCAAAACGACCTCACCGCTTACAAGTTTCATCTGAAAACGCCCAAGAAGCGGTTTGCTTCCAGCTCCCGCGTTACTAGGAGTTATTTTTGCTTTGGTACGTACAGCGCCGTGAACACGGGAGAGGACCGAAGGGTGGTATTTGCTCCTCCAGACCTGCTTGGTACCGGTTTAAAATGATGTTTCAATCCCAGCTCAAGGAATTTCTCTCTCCTCCTCTCCCTTCGTACACCTCCCACCATCCTGGATTTCAGGAGCCGCATCTCAAAGACGCAACCCGAGCCAGAAAACCGACGCGAGGGAAAAATTCCCACCCCAAATTCACGCGGCGCGGATGGAATTCATCCGCCCCGTTCCCGAAACTCAAGGGCTGAAGGCGCTGCTCAAAGGCGGCACGAGGACAACGCGCCGCATCCGCGAGCGTGCGGGAAAAGCAGCATCGCCTCCCGAATCCTCCCGCGCGCTACGAGCAACCCGCCGTCAAGCCGCTCAAAA